CTATCCTACCTTAAAAAAAAAAGTGGAAAACCTTTTGAGCAAAATGTTACAAGGATTTTTTTCCCCTTCAGATCAAAATGAAAGGCAGTAAGTTGATGGGACTTAGGAGGTGTTTGGATAGTACTAGAAGTGCTTCTAAAAAGCACTGTTTCACAAATCTAGATAAACTCTTTCACATATTTATTTCGTATATCGTAAAAATATTTTTAAAATTATAGTTTTGATTCCATCCAAACACCTTTTTAATAAAGGTAACAATCTCAATTGTAATAATGCACATCAAAATGATTATGTCAGATGCCGATATTAAGATTTTCTGAAGGACTTGATAGGGAGTTTATCGGAGCAGGGTTGGCAGTCAGTGTATCGAATATTAAAAAAATTGGGGCCCAGAAATTCTTAGCCAAACAAATTTTAACAATTTAGAATTTATATGTAGAAAATTATTATCTTTTATTCAATTTGCCCTTACGTTCCATTTCACAAAATAAACGAGGGTTGAAAGTTTCCACGCCACTTCCGTCAATTCATCTGTTCTTGATCAAATAGATGGAACCTGTACTAGCCTTAAATGCAACAACCTTTTCATTTGATTAGCAGAAGAAGAAAAAAAGGCTTTTCATTTGAAAGGTGAGGTACATAATTATTCCCTTCTCCACGAGCAAGAAGTCAGATAATGGGGCCTTCTTCGTACCTTGGTAATTAATATTAGCATAGTCTCCTCACTGGTGACATTTGGTACTTCGTAGCATGCGGAATAACGTGGAAACATGCATAAATACGAATGTTTGATAATGGTTTCCTTCTTTTTATCATCGTAACAAGTCACTTTCTAGCAAAAATGAATGGTCTTTGTTATAAGTTAATTTAAAATTATTGATTATAAGAGAGAACGTAACACGAATATAAAATTTTTTTATTTAATTATTGATAAAATAAAAATTTTATTTTAATTTTATATAAAATCAATAATTTATGATTTAACCACTTTTTAAATTTTGATAAGAGAGGCAGAAGTATCTTTCAATACAACCGAAATCACATCATTCTTTGCTGGCGATCATGATGGGACATGGGTTTGTTTTAATACTTGAAAATGTTTTCACTCACTCGTGATCACAACAGACCCGTCCCGATTTCCTCTTGATAATGAACAGTAAGGGGATAAAAAAATTGTCCCCCATTTCATCCTGTCCCGATATTGTCCCGGTCCCGCTAAGGATCGGGACGTCCCAATATAGTTTTTTAAAAATATTTTTTCAGTTGTTGGGCCTGTTGTAATAAAATTTGATTTTTTTAATTGTAGTTTTTTGGGCTTAGTCCTTGTAAAAACATCTTTTTTTTTATTTCTTTGGGCACCCTTAAATAAAAGTTTAAAATATTACATATAATAGTCATTAAAAACTCTAAATAAAAGCTTTTAACACAATAAAAGCTTACCGAGAATTCTAATCATCAATAGTCTCAAATCATCAACAAATATAAAAATTCTAAATAAATGGATCCATAATTCTATACAATAGTCTTAAATCTTAAAAAAAAATGAAAAAAATGAAATTATATAAATATGATAAAAAATTAAAAAAAGTACCAAAACAAGACAACCCCATCCTATCCTGGTTCCTTTTTTGTCCCGTTCTGAAAATTTTTTCAATCGGGCCCATCCTATCCTAATAAGACCAGGACTAGAATGGGTCGACCGAGACCTAATAAATGGAATGGGAGGATAAGAAGAAATGGATTGCCAAAGATGCTTTCAATTACACACGCTATTTAGTTAGGTGTTTATATATATTTCTTTTATTTTATTCTACGGTTGATATAAATCATATATATTATTTACAATAATAAAGTAACATTCAATTAGTAGCATCAATAAAATTTAATAAGAGAGAATTAACTAATTTATCATTATAATTTCACTGAATTGCCAATTAAATTTCTAGATATTAAAAACGGGCAAAGTGTCTCCGCTTACTTTTCTTTTCATTTTCATTCACTTCTTATTTCAGCCATAAGATTAAGATTTTAACGGTTTAGATTCCATATTTATAAAACTATAAATAAAATATTAAAATTTTAAAAATAAATAAATAAAATAAAATAAAACTACTAAGTTTTAATATGTATAATTCAAAACAATAATAAAAAATACTTTATAAAATTATTTTTAAAAATATGAAATCTAGACTACTAAATTTTTATTCTTAATATTTTAACAGTTGAGATAGGATGTGTATAGAAATAAAGAGGAAGAGAAGTGAGGAGATTTGCCCATTAAAAACTTACAACTTAGTCCTCTAATTTACAAAATTTCAGACCCAGTGCCTAGCTCATCCAATCCAACTCAATTTTAACTTGAAACCATGTTCGTTCGTTCACAAGGCATTGAAAAGCTACACTACCAACCAATTGCCAAATCACCCTCGTTTCAAACACCCCAACCCGACCATGTAACCCCGAAAGTAACGAGTTTCTGCGCAGCAACAGAAGAATCAAATACAATAAATGAGCATGTCTCCTATCTCGATACATATCCAATGCCAAAATGTTCAATCACACTCCCGAAAATAACACTATGTTGTGTGGCCCTGCCGACGGAAGAATCATCCTCAATATACACTTGATGCTGTCAGCAGTCCCAAATCTGCAGCACAATACATCCATAACCGACCAACTCAGCTTTTAATATCGATGCGTGGTATAGAATCGCAGTAGATATTGACGCGTTTTCTCCCATGAATATAATATCAATCTCGTTATTCTCCCCCTAATAAAAGAAGAATAACAACGGAAGGGTGTGTTTGGATGAAACCAAACCGTGGTTTAAAAAAATGATTCTGAAGAATAGATTTTGGGAAGAATAGATTTTAGAAAAATATATTTTATGAAAAAGTGGTTTTGAGAAGTGAGAGTGTTTGGATAGTTGTTATCAGAAACATTTTTATATATACAAATTACTAAAAAAACATAAGTTAATATGATAATTACAGGAAAAATAGATTTTATGATATATTTTAATTTGAAGAATAAAATTGTTAATAATATATTTTTTTATTAACATAATTAATAATACATAAGATAATATAATTAATAAATAATTAATATGTATATATATTTATAAAATATAAGATTAAATATGTTTATAAAAAAATAACAAGATACATATCCTATAAGCTCTCACACTCTTTTTTTTTTTTTTCAAAAGCAAAAATTTTTTACTTTTTCCAAAACCATGGTTTTGGTTTTTGGGTGGGTGTTTGGGTGATTTATTCCCCAAACCATGGTTTGGGGTGTCATCCAAACACAGCCTAAACCAGACTAGATATTAACTGTGACTACGATCATCCTTGTATTTCATGGATCAATCGGAAGAATCTTGGTCATTCATTGCTTAATCTGAAGAATTAGAAGAGGGGAAGAGGAGAAGATTGCGATCAGAATAGTGACTTCGCTATTCTCATGCCTCCGATCGGATTTGCAAGGTGTCCGATCGATTTCTCCTCCGCCGCAAGTTCATGTTTCTCTTCGTCTCCAAAAAGAAGATCTGTCGTGATAGAAGCCAAATCCGTCGCAAGGTCGTGCTTCACTTCGTCTCCACACCAGCGGCATCTTACGTAATACGTCTTGCTCTAGATAACACACGTTCAAGGTTCAACTGTTCAGGGGTTGTAGGGTCGGGCTTGGGTTGAAACGTGGGTCGGGTATGATGGAGATGATGGGATTGCAGGTTCAACTAGCAAGTTAGAACTACAAAGATTTTACAGAGACTGAGTTATATTTAAGGCATATTTTTTATATTTATTATGTTAAGTGTTCTAATATGTTCTAATTTTTTTTTAATATGAGTTCATAAGTAAATATTATTAAATATTAATATTTTAAAAATAATATATATAATCATATGTGATTAAAAAACTATGCATAAACTTAATACAAATATTGTTTATCCTAGAAGAGAAGCCGATTAAAATTCAGTGAAATTATGGACGAATCAATTAATTTAACTTTTGATAAAGTATTAAGAAAGTTGAGTAATAAAGATTATAATTAAACATTTTATCTTTTTTGTATTTTGTACTGACATATTGATTTATGTTTCATATTCTTCCCCCCTTCTTCTCTCTCTCTGGTGGTCAAACTTTGCAAAATACTACCTCCGTTCTTTAATATAAAACCCTGTTTAATTTTTATTTTTATCTTAAATATAAGATTCCAATCTACTTTGTCTATCATATTTATACATTTTTTTTTCAAAATAACCCTTCTAATAATGATAGTTTTAGTCAATATACTTGATTAGTAAGAATATTTTAAGAAAAACACCTTTTTAGGACAAATAACTAACTCAACTTACTTTCTTAATCTCCTCAAATTAGTCAACTGGCTTTTATAATTAGGACCGGAAATAGTAGCTATAATGAATAATTTAAAAAGAAATAGAGACTCGTACATTTGCCCTCACAATTCTTGCGCAATGATATCAAGAACAAAATATGTGATTATCCTATACAAAATTAAAAGTATAAAAAGAACCAAGATTCCTACATTTAGTATCCGACAGTACCTCTAATAGGATTACCTCTAATAGAAGAATACCTATATTTTAGCCAAAAAAATAAAATAAAATAAAAAGAAAAGAAAACCTTCCAGCATCAACAAAAATGGTTATATGGACTTGATAAGAATTTAACTTCATAAATGTACCTGTACGAAGCATACCAAGTATATAAGAGAAATTGTCTCGTAAAATATTAAAAATTTTCTTTAAAGTGATTTTATGGTTTGCCAAACAACCAGTCAATACGACACTGCCGCGAGAAAACTAGATTCATGGGGCAGTTCCCCAATCAAGTTTGTCAAGAAAATACAAAGATGAGAATAGTAAAAGCCGAACAAGGCCCATTTAGCTTCAGGTAACTCATATTGAAACTTGAAAACGGGGATTTAGGGTACGGGAAGTTTGTGGCCACTAGCGGCTCAAATCCAATTCAACCAGAAGTAGAACCCACAAAAAAAAATTGCATTTCACCAGAGGAAAAAAACAATTGCAACTCTGCATGTACAAGTACAATCAAAGAAGTTGGTAATTAGTAAAAGGAACAATAGTCAAAATTGACAGCATTACCCAACCGGCCATTTTCTTAAAAGAGAACAAAATTAAATCAAAACCTTGAACGTTTGAAATACATCATTTATTTTCTTCAATGAAATCTCTATACTCCCGCTTCATTTTGACTCCTGAAACGGTCCTGCAAAATGCAATTAGCAGCAACAAAACATAACCATTAAGCAAGCATATATTCGACACCGGCCAATTGGTTAATACAGACATTGACGGCACCAAGCATACTTAGAAGTCTCCCCCACGTCTACCATTTTTCTTTCACATTGCATAGATGGATGTTAAATAAAGATGTTTAATATGTACCTAAGCATCTCCTTGTTTTTGAAAAACTGCACACATGGTGTACCCATAATACCAGCAGCTTCCGCTATTTCTGGGTCTTCTTCTATATCAATTTCGACAAAATGAACCTCCTGATCAAATTCATCAATCACCTGCCACAGGAAATTAGGAATGTAAAGTGACTTATCATAACTCTCCATTTTCTATGTATACTTTATGCTTTAAGCTTTTGGATATCGACAATTACTAATGTATTAGTGAAAGTTTGTAACAAGCAACAAGACCTTGCTACTTTCAAGTTGAGCACTTAAGAAGTTGATGGTAGTATACTAAAATGCACTATTCTCAATCACAAGTACAAAATAGCTGAGCAAATACTGAGAACACTGGAACATTTTGGTATTATTATTCTCCTAACCTCTAAAGGGAGAATCTTTGCACTAGAAGTTGAACTCTGTTAAATTAACACCATCATTGCATGGGTGCAATTTGGAAATACAGAAAGGTCTGAGCCATAGACAATATTCAACAACATATAGTATGTATTTTTATCCTTCACATCCATTCCTAGCATGTAAATAACTGCATAAACATCATGTCAGAGGCTTATAGTAATGACTAATATTATGACCTGTTAGGATCAGAAATAACCCTGAGAATCACATACCTTGCTAAGAATTGGCTTCAAAGTCCTACACGGACCACACGTTGGTGCTGTATATAGTACACATATAAGCCTTGGACTTTCATGGTACAGTTTCCGTAGGGCGTACTGTGAAGACAAATTAAAATGGAAAGAATAAATATATAATACAAACTCAGGAACTAGATAAGAAAATGAATTGATTGAACACAACAAAAGCTAGAACTCAATCCCATTAGCATAAGCACCGGGCAAGCAAGCATATACCTGTCCCTTGTGTTTTGTAAGTGTGATGTCAAAGCCCTCTTGAACGTCTCTGTCCGTGAGTTCTTTCTTGACCTCTTCAGTTTTGGGCTGTTAAAAGTATAGAGGAAGGCATTTTGTATAATTACGGCATGAATTAACTGATTTTACGTATGCCTAAAAATGTTATGTCCCTTACAATACTGAGAATGGCTTTAACAGTCCTTTTTAATTCTTCAAGTCATAGAACATTCAGAGTTTAAAACCAAATCCCTCTTTGAAAAAAGGTAGATGCCTGTCTAGGGCTTACAGGTGTATATAGCATACAGGGTGATTAGATACCTGGAGCTTATCATCAAGTGCTAAATTTCTGAAGGACATTAAGCGCACATGAAGTTGAAGTTAAATACCTGATGGAACTCTATAAGAAGATCTTTGCTCACAAGATATCTCTCAGCAGATAAAGCAGCAATACATCCAGATCCAGCAGCAGTAACGGCCTGCCTCCATTCGTGGTCCTACATGATCAAAACATGAGATGAATTTAGTAATTTTACTTCCTCATAAATTTGCATATTCATATGCTCAATATTTTTGCCAAAATTTCACAATATATTGTATTCATACCTAATATACAAAAATATAGGAAGCCACACTGTTCACAAACATGAACAGTGAAGCTCATCTGAAATTTTAAGAAAAGCAAAACCAAATGGTCTAGTTTAAGGATAAAAGATCAAATTCTAGCCAGTTGCAAGGATGTCTTATAAGTAGATTACCGAGAACAAATCTGCACTTCAAAATACATCCCATTTGATATTCTCAGAAGATCATAAGCAGAGGACAAAACAAACAAAGAGTGTTAAAAAAAACTTAAGACATAATGTAAGCAAAGAACTTGGTAAAATGTTGTTCTCCTCATGCTCCAGGCCTCCAGCTATTCCTTTAGAGATTCAACTAATATCTTTGAGTTAATATTAAACAATAAGCTCTTTCAAATAAAATATTAATCTGCTTACCTGCACGTCTCCAGCAGCAAATACACCTTCCACTGAAGTTTTTGCAGTACCCTCCTCAACTACTATATAACCAGAGTGGTCTAGCTCAACTTGGCCTTGCAATAGTTGGCTATTTGGCGAATGACCTATGCCATAAAATAGCCCTTTTGCCTCGAGCACAGATTCCTCCCCAGTATTAGCCTTTCGAATTAAAATACCAGACATCTGTCCTTTAGCATCGCTCACAATATCCACAGCCTCTGTATTGAAGTGCACGGTGACATTGGGATTGTTGTACACTCTGAAACATGCGTGATAATTAACCTGTTAAACAAAGATTAAGGGAGTTGAAAACTCATACCAATTATTTATTAGTATATAATCCACCATCATCAAAGAATCCCAAAAGGTAACTTTAAATCAACACATAATGGCAAGTAAAAGACAATAAAATAAGAAACAAAATACAATATGAGTTTTGTTTCATGTTATAATCATTTACTATGTCAAACATAACATTTTTCTACAACCACTTGTCTATGGTACAATGCATGTACCTTAGTGTAATTGTCTGTTGTTGGGCATGCGAAGAAAGTGAAATCAATACTCCCTCCGTTCCTTATTATAAGAGACAAATAACTAAATTACGTTGATCAAAAAATTAGTTAAAATTAGTTGAGGACAATTAATGTGTAAAAAGTATAATATATTTTCCAACAATGCCCCTATTAATAAGAAGAGAGAGTATGAGAGAGAACAATTAAATTATTAAAGGAAAGAGAAGTGGGAGGGAGAGAGAGTATGAGTTGGAGACAAAATAAATAGGGGTAAAATAAGAAATCAATACAAAAAAATAGAGACAACTTTTAAGTGTCTCTTATATATAGGAGCATGCCATAAGCATCAAATGTCTCTTATAATAAGGAACAGAGGGAGTATCTTATAAGCAAAAAGTGGATGGTGAATCATGCTTGGGATCAAACAAGGAAGTAGGATTTAAGAATCAGAACCAAACCAAAATCTAAGAAACGAATAATTATAAGAAACTTGAACAAGTTCACCTCAAGGTTTACAGGTAATTAAAAACCTTCAACATATGGCCATCATGCATTTGAGGGAAAAAATTCAATGATAACAGTACAAACAGAATAAATGGCAAATTACTTAATAAGTAACATATTCATTACTCATTGATTGCATTGCAGCTGTAAAGTTTGACATTCCTTAACAACTAGTAAGTACCAGATGTTGGGACGTAATCATCAGACCCACCTATCTTGCATTGCTTTAGAAGCCCTTAGTTGGTCCCCACGTACAAGCAAGTGAACATGACGAGCATATTTAGTCAAGTATAATGCTTCCTCAGTAGCCGTATCTCCACCTCCAACAACAGCAAGAACTTGGCCTTTAAAGAGAGGTGATGCTCCATCACAAATAGCACAAGCACTGATTCCCCGGCTCCAAAATTCATCTTCTCGGGGCAGCCTAAGTCTTTTTGCAGTAGCTCCGGTAGCAACAATGATAGTATGGCATTTAATCTGAAACACACACACACACACACACACAAATATTTAATCAATAACAGCTAATAAACTGCACCAACAACTAGCCTTCCAAAGAACAGGAGAATTTAAAATCTAAAAATACTTATCACCAAGTATGTACACAAAAGTGTTGTTTTCACTCATTCAAAGAAGAGCAACACAAAGCAGATACAAAGAGCTAGTTAAACAAAAATATCACCTTGCGTTCACTACTTTGTACGGTAAAAGGACGGCTTTTTACATCAATCACTTCAACATCTTCTTGAAACAGTTCCGCTCCCCATCGCTCAGCTTGACGCCGCATCCTAGATAGTAGATAGGTAGAAAATATGTGAATTCCAAGATTGACTAAATTTCAATATAACATGGGTTATGGCAAGTTCCTTTTCTTTTTCATATACCTGTCCATCAGATCAGGACCACTTATCCCATCTGGAAATCCCGGAAAATTCTCTACCTCAGTTGTAGTCATCAACTGACCCCCAGGAACACCACCCACTTGGTACCCCTCAAACACTACAGGCTTCAAGTTGGCACGTGCTGTATATATTGCTGCTGTATATCCTGCAGGGCCTGAACCTATAATTACTACATTCTCAAGACCTTTTCCTGTGAGAAGAAGAAAAAACACAAGAAGTCAACTTTAACTTTGCCTTTCCTAAAAAGAATAAAATGAAAGATCAATGACACGATTTACATTATTATGATATATAATAAATCTGAATCTGAATTGACAAATCCGTAATTTTTTCTCATAAGGGCATCAGTGTTTGAATCAGCAGGTACTTCAAACTTCTATGCAATGCTATAACAGAAACATACGCCAGAAATTTAACCCTATCCCTGAGGTAAGAACACTGGATTGTCCATTAACACAAGGAAGAAACATAAACCATAAAATTGCCCCTAGAAAGGTGAAGCCATGATAACGTCATGGCATGCGTTCAATAATCAGTATAAAAAAAAGGCTGAAATTCAACACAAAATCTGTCCAACACACAGCAAACCATAATCATCTTTTAAACTCCGAAAATTTTATAACTTCGTCTTAAAAAATCATTTTCAAAACCATTTTAACTAATTCCACCACATCTGTCCCTTAAATTAATTTGGAGTTCATGTCTAATGTTGTTTGATAAGTAAAGAGTGTCAGGCAACCAGGATTTGATTAGCATTCCGATGTGTATTCCAATTCGAAAATTTTCATTAACTCCCCAACAAATAAATCAAGTGGCTGCGTGGGTCGCTCAAAAGTCAAGTTACCATGACACTAACAAGCACTCTCATTCTTCTGTAGGCAATTTTACAAGATGCTTCGACCCTTCTTCCCATCGAAATAAATACAGCATCAGACTTAATTCTCCCAAACCGATAATTGCAAATGTAAGCCGAGACTTCAAATAAAAATAGGCATATCTTTTCTCCAAAGCCGCACTACACAAGTCAATGAAAAGAACGTGAACCGAACCCATCCATTGAACACAACGCCCTCACTTGCCGCAAATTATTGTCCCTTTCACCAGGACTCCCACTCCAACCACTCAGACATCAAACAAGGAAGCACAGTATGAAGACCGGGCAAGCATGGAAGTAAATGCCAAACCTGGTGAGAGAGATTCGTCCGCGGACGACGCTTGTACACTGAGCAGGGAGGAACGGGTTCTAAGAGAGTTAACCCGGAGAAGCCGTCGCCTCGCCGGCCACGTCCTGAGAAAGATGATACCGTGCAACGGAGGAAGTGCGCTGGAGGAATGGGTGGCCATGGTGACTCGGTGAGTCGGAACGGTTCCGACTCCGAGTCCTATCGTCGCAGCAGACATTGCCTGCTTCCGGACCATACAATGGGAGACTGCAATCAGACTTGCTGGGTTAGACGGCCATTTATCAAGACAAAAAGTCAGACAACCTGCAGTCATTTTGCCACCTGTTCTCTTCGATTTCTGTCCTTTTCTTTTCCCCCTTTTTCTTTTCTCTCTCTCTTTTTAAATAAATTAATCTGTATACTAACCCACACTAATAACTCGTCATGCGGTAGTAGTAATAATTAATCGCTATCAATACTTGCAAGTAGATTGGTAGATTGTTTGAAACTCGCCCAGCAATTCACAAATTTGTTTTAAGATCATAAAAAATTTTCAAGGGAGGGAAAATTTTGATTAAAAAAAGTTTTTTTTACCTTAATTAAAAAAATTTGAAGAATACAATTTTTTTAAAAGAAATCCTATTTATTTACTAAAATTTTAAATAAAATAAAATTTGACCAATCAACAAAACATTTCCACACTAATTATGAATTTTTTGTTATTACTGGAAATTGGCTGTCGGGTTGGCCCATGCTAATTTGGGCTTTGGATCTGTAACTGGGCCAGTGAGCAGAGTCGATCCCTATGGTCCAATCGGACCCCGGCTCAATGTTTTGGGCCGAATATTTGGGTCTATGGATGTTGCCACGAGTTCTTCTTCCTGGATCCATAGGCGAAATAAAAAATAATCGACCCATTTTTGTGCCAAAGAAAACGGACCGATCAATTTGATGAAACTTTCGACCTATACAGTATGCGCTGAGATGGCCTGAATTTTAGAATAGGTAAAATCGACTTCGTGGAGATCATGCCATAAACAAGTGAGATGCCATAAACAAGTGAGAGTTGAATCTAGCCCCAAAAAAAAAAAAGTTCCTTATAATATAGTGAACTAAATTTTGAACCCATACAGGATCACCTCCACGCCTCTATCTAGCCAAAAAAATCATGCCAAAATAATTTATCACTCAAACTCACAATATTAATTGCACAATAAATTTATTTCAAGAAAGTAAAATATCAAATAATGCAACAATATTTTGAGGAATTAATTTCCTTAGAATATAACAAAAATGATTTCCATACCAAAAAAAAAAATCCCCTTAGCATCGAATTTTGTCATTGTAACAATATCTATTCATTGTCATTTTTATATACTTCAGAGTTTCAAAATAAAGATATCATTGTCAATATCTTCGCATATCAAACTATGACCTTGAGAACTCTTAAAACTTTGCAGAAAAATAAAATTAAACATCAGCGCCCGACACTTCTCCCAATGGAGGAACACTGGCAGGATAATAAGGAATCTATTTACAATTCGACGGCACGCTGAGTCATCTTACATAACTCATGACTTGACGATTCTTCGATTTTCAGTCATTGATATTTACATATGGCCTATCACTAAAAAATTATACAACATTATCACTGTAATACTTTCTACCAGAAGAAAGTGATGAATGGCACATGTCATGAGTTAGCTGCAAAATGGTTAAATATGGTCTCCAGAGTTGACTGGCTGATGCTGTACTCTGCAATGCCCAGTCTATTTCTGTAAAAAGATTTTGGTGAAAATGAGTCCCTTCTAATTTTAACGATCACGACCAAACGTGTGAAATGTATTGTGTGTAGTTTACCTGTTTCCTTCAAGAAGTCCAAAAACATCCGCCAGAGAGAAACCTTCACCATATGGTAACTGCAGTAAACCATGAATTAATATATGCCCCACAAATTAAAACCCCTGCACTACTGCATATAAATATATGCAAATAGCCTGTTTATGGAATAACTAAGTGAAGCTGAACTGGTGAATATCCTGGAAAATATATGTCGTACATTACCCGAGATACAAAAATAAGACAAACCAGAACAATAATTAAAATATGCCAGGTGTTTGATCACCAGAAAATCTAATCAATCAGTTAGAAAGTGAGACTCCACTACGGGTTTAAAACATAGTTTTGATCAAAGCAATGTGAGAGTAGTATTGTCTCAAAAGTTGTAAAACGCCATTTCCATCCGGAAATCAAACAAGCACTGAGGCTATCAACCATCATGGGAGAACTTTCCATAAAAAAAAAAAATAGTCTAATTAACTGAGCAAATACCTGGTATCTCATACTCAAACCATTGCACCCTTGACATCTTGCCCCAGCAAAAGAAGATAGAATAAATGAATCTATTGCCGAGAACTTTTCTCTGGACAGCCACCACTCACAAAATACCGGCAATGGAATGCCACCTAGATAGTCTCAAACAGTTACCGATAAAGTAGAGAGCACTTAACGATGAAAGAACAAATTTCGTGCACCACCTATTTGTAAAGTAAATGAAGTGACACCAACTTGTAAAGAATGTCATGAACACATAAACACATGATTCATGCACAAAGGTGAAGTTCGCCCGCATGTGCACATGAGAACTCAACTCAGTCACGGTGTCACAGGCATTTATATGGCCTAAGTTACACAAATAATTCTAGGATCTTCAAGGAATATGATTTCAGAGTTTCTATAGACTAGACGATTTCATGCAGAAGACAAATTCTTCAAATGACAGGAGAATAGAAATGATTTTTTCAATACGAAAGGGGTCCATCAAAAGGTGTGCCAGCATGACTGAAAAATACCACAATCTGAAACTTCTTTTTAAAATTTTTTTGAAACAAAAAGATCGAACATTTAATCAGTAAATCTTTAATTAGAGGTTAGAATGCACAACCCCGAAAAAGGAAAAGGAAAAGGAAAATAATTATAAAATGTCAAAGTGTTGCACTTTATTGTTTTGAATAACATATAGGCATGTTATTTCCATATGATATCTCCAAGTACAACGGAAATGAAATCGAGCAAGATGATTTTACACTAAATAAAAAGCAAGGTGAAGGTGAAGATGAATCATGGTATGCCTGATTATAGACCCGTGTACAAGAGATCATTCAGTTATTCACTCACCTTCCAGCCCAAACAAAAGGGCCATCAATCATTATCACACAAATAATCATCAGTGAGGAGAAAAAGCATGAACTGAAGGTTCGCACATACCATCTCGGAACAGTTGTTCAGATAACAGTTCGCTAGAAGCCCCATCAGATACAGGTGTGTAAGAGATAAGCATCTTTATTCTTTCTTCATTGCCAAGCCAGCGTCCAACGAAGACAATCATTTCCCGTGACAAGCTAATTTCTGCAAAAGAGGCATCTGATGAAATGGAGTCAGCACCTCCAATGCAAATTTCAAGGCCGTCAAGCAGGCTTCTAGGATGAGATGGAACATCAAAGAGTCTTTCTTGTATAGCTTTACAGAGTAATTCTAAATCCTCAGAGCTCACTTCAGTCGGTTTCACCTGAATTCATGAATCAATAGTTAGATATATGAAGATGCTTTTATCTGAAAAAGTAAAAAAGAAATCGTAGATTAGTCATCCAAGTAACCTCTAATTCCAGATGATTCCCAAATCTTGTTTTCAAGTGCTGTGGACTTCCGACGCACCTTAATCGACCACCAACCTTACAACAGAGACAATGTAATTAAAAAATGAGTATGGGCGTCGTCCTTTTTTTTTTTTTGGGGCAGGGAGAGGTAAGAAGACGCACAGGAAGAGGGAGAGATTGTCTTCCTCTGGAGTTTCTTATTCAGAATTATGACATTAAATAATTACAAGAGGAAAAGCCGGTCACACAAGTTTGACCAATCAATTCCTATGAGCAGTAGAAATAAAAATAAATCATAGCACATTCCAATTATGGGACAATTAAGGAAACAAATCATAAGCAGGTTTGACTAGGAAATACTGAAGGAAAAAAATAATACAAGTAAAAACCAAAAATGTTCATGTCAGTGCCTAACCAAGCAAATAAAAAGCAAACTTATACCATTATTCCTATTCGTGTACACAATGCTTGAGCTTCATTCATGCTGTGGGTCGTTAGAATTACTGCTGTCTTTCCTCGTCTTGTTGAAATCCTAGATATTACATCCCACATGAAACGTTTGGCGATGGGATCCATACCTAAAAGTATGAATAATTAGATTTTAAAGCAGACCTGACAGCAGATGCTTTTGCAATTCATCAAGAATAAGAAATTATGCAACAAGCTCTCATATTGTTTATCTGTAAGCAGCTTCATCACATGAAAGGCCTTGTTGCTTTGAGTTAAAAACTAGATGACATAAAAGCTTAACTATTAAGCAAGAGTCCATGGACGTGTTTTGATAACTCAAACTTGCCCCTCGCAAGGAAATCTCACTAGGTTGCATATGTGGCTGCCACCACGTCAAACAATAGCTTGATCTGATGGAAGGGTTTGAGAATATATTTGATAACAACATGAAAAGATAAGGCTTCTTTTTATGATGTTTGGAGATAAATAATGAAACAGAATAAAAAGAACTGAGTTATTATACCTGTGGATGGCTCATCAAGAATGACTATAGGAGGATTTCCAATCATCGCAATTGCGACAGACAATTTCCTTTTATTTCCTCCACTAAGAGAAAATGATGGCTTATTAGCATGCTTCAGCAAGTCAAACTCCTCTAGCTTTTCCAAAACAACCTGTCCAGATGGTCATATGGGCATTAAAGGCCAATATATCATAGCTAATAATAATCATGTCATTGAACTAAAAAGGTTGATATTCCCATCCCTTGATGGTAAAAGTAAAAAAGAATAGTCACATTTATTTTGAATGCATAAGAAAGCAGATAGCCATCCTTACTGAACTCTAGTGTTTGGGGGACATGTTATTCATGAGAACTAGTTAAGGTTGTATATGTTGTAAAGAGCCTGAGAAATGAGTCACGTTATTAACAACTCGTGAATAGTGTGGCTTGTTAGAGTTTTTATATCATACATTGATTGATTGATTATTGCGAAAATTCACTATATGAGACATTTGGGGCATGTTTTTGTTTCCTTTAAAACTATTCAGGCCTGAATTAGGAGAGAAGTGAGGGAATTTAGATAGCAAAAGTGACACGTATTAAACTAGGTAACATTGTGAACTATATTACCCTCAATCATGTGAGACGGCCATTATTTTTTTGTGTAACTTGACT